ATATATATATATATATATATATATAATTATATCGCACAGAGGGTAACTCTTAAGAAAAAGTTACGTGTGATAAGCAACGTTTGATCGTGGCTCGTATAATATTTCTTTTGTGTTAACTCTTTCGAAATGAGTACGAGATATCTTACGATACGATGCCCTTCGTAGAGGAAACGATCCAGATCGAAAAAAATTCTTCGAAATGTAATTTTCTTTCTCTTTTTTTTTTTCTTTTTCAAATTTATATCGAGATAAATGTTTTCTTTTATTTGAATTGAAGAAAAATTTTGAGAAAAGGGATTGTTATTATTAATGTTTTATATCTCGATATCTTTTCTCTATTCGCGAGATATTAAAATTTAATGACTCGCCAAGGGAACGAAAAAAATATATTCTTCCCCCCTTATCTCGAATCGCTTTACAAATCTTCACGCAGTTTAAAACACGTGAGAATTTATCAGAAGCGTTCCATTATCAGGTGGCAGATAATTTCATAGCAGTGCCATTCCATCAGACGAACGGGGGAAAATAATGTATTCACGAGAAGATTTCTTTTTTTTTTTTTTTTTGAAAAGATGAAAGAATATCCGTTTAACCGTAATTAATAATAGTGAAAAAGGAATTGTTATAATTGCACATTTATAATTGTACTCCATCGTTTTATTAAACAGTTAAGAAATAGCGTAGAAATGGCCATGGAAAAACCCCGCTCTTTGAAACTTGACTTTTCTCCTCGTTTCTCGACGAGTTTATATTAAACGGTATTCGAGTGACATTATTGGATTCCCTATTTCGTCTATTTCGTATATATAAGGGAACAGAAATTCGAGTCTTATTGATGTCCATTCTCTTTGTAATTCAAAAAAAAAGAAAAAAAGAAAAAAGAAAGAAAGAAGAGCACATGCAACGATTTCAAATAATATACGTGGAAAGTACATTTAACTTGATACATTCACCATACGATACATAAACACGATAAAATCATTAAACCCAAGATCTATCAAATAAAATGAAAGCAATAATACAATTATCTGAGCCAGAGTTAAAATCGAACATGTAATGAAATCACAATCGACTGTTATAATTTCTAACCACGACATCCTTTTGATTAAATTATTGAAAAATAAATTAAATCCCGAAATATCGATTTCATACATGAATTATTTCATTTTATCACCGAAATGTGGAATAGTGAGACGCGTTATGTATTTGTTAAATAAATTATCGAGACTATTTACAGAATGGTAGAAATGAGGTCAGCGAGATTCCATAGTTCAAAAAATAAAAAAATATAGAATTAAATTTTTTTCATTTTCTAATAAATCGAAGTTTGAACACTTTTCGAGGGAAAGAGTTAATTCTTGATTGGATACAATCATTCGACTTGTGTATTGTGAAAATAAGGAAAAAACATAGGATAAAATTTTAAACTTTCTTTTTGAAACAAATCAAGGATCAAAGAATCGTATAATCGATGAATTTTTCCATAAAAAAGTATATTCTCTATACTCTTTCCTTATTTTCATATTCGACATAACCTATTAACGATTCATTCACATGCCACAAACAATTTATTACTAATTTCACTCGTTTGAAAAGTTTGAAAAATTTTATTCTTTATTTTATTTTTTCTACTCCTTGTTCTTCATTTTCTCTCTATTTTTAACCACAGAATCTCTCTTTAAACTTTATTTGCATCGTGTGTGAATTTACGAATCGTCCTACACGAGAATCAAATTTTGTCGCCACTTTCGCCTTTCGCCACAATTTCCCGCGCACTACGTGATCCAAGATGGAGTCGAAATGGATCGAATCCCGAATCGTAGTTTGAAATATTCGTCTCCCCCTTATCATTTATTTCCATCCACCGTTTTTCCATGCGATCAGAAATTTTTTTATCCCTTCTCTTTTCTCTTCTCTCTTTTTTTTTTTCACGTGATTTTTTTCCACTTTCCAGCTTGCACCGCGTCGCAATTCAAATGCAGGAACGAGCAGTGCGTTGACAGCAGCGCACGGTGCAATGGCGTGAACGATTGTTTAGATCGTTCTGACGAGTTAAATTGCCGTGAGTATCACACAATTTTATTCCTTTCTATTATAGCGGCATGGACAATTATTTTCATTAATCCGTTTCGTTAATCAATTCGTTGGGTTTGTCCGTTTATACGTAATATTTGTTGTTTGTTATTTGGTACGTGATAGATACACGAGTGTGTATGTGAGCACCGTGGCATGAATCGAACAGTATAGAAGAATTATTTGTTGCTAAGTAAGAATTATTTGTTTGAAGAATTAATAGTTAATTTGTTTTTACATTATATTTATAATAGTTTTACGAGACGAAGTTTTTTTAAGACAATTCACTTGGCTTATGGCATGCATTCGGAAATAATTTGCCAATTATGTCGCTATTTGCCTCATAATGATTACTAAATATAGTAGAGTTATGACAATCGCTTGAATGACTGGAACTGGAATCATCTTGTTCCTTTTGTTCTTGTATTCCATTGAAATTGAAATGCGCTTGAATTTTTTACTCGAATTCCCTGTTGACATTTAGAAATGCAAATAGTGTGGTAGTGATGAGCACGAATCTCTCGTATGTTCTCGAACAAATTAATATTCATTTAAAATCTATCCGCTAGTCTAGCGGATAGTTTAAATTGAAAAATTAAAAAAAGATTTAAACATCAGTATT